CTTATGAGATTGAATCTCTAATATAATCACTTCAGGCTAATATGTCCTAACTTTTTATTTTACATATCATTTATATGCTCTAGACATTGTTGCCCTTTTCTTGTCATTTTAGGAAATATATAATGTGTTAGTTATAGTCATAACTCTATACTCTTTAATATAAAATTTCAACCATTCTATGTCTACATTTTTATATATTTTAATACAATTATTCTTTTAGTACAATTGAATAAACTCAATAAATAAATCAAGCCATTGTAATCTTTTTAAGATATTTAAGAACCTTTTATGATTTTACTTTACTAAGTTATACTAAAATCTTACAACACTATGATGGCAAGTTTTATTTCTTTTGATTCTTATCACTCCTATTATGTGCAAATTTGCATTTTTTTTATTAAAAAATATCTCATTCAATTATCAAGATATCATATATACTTAATCAAATTACTATTTTATTTATTTTTTTACTATTTGGTGGTTGTTTTTGTTTAAGTAAAATGCCTTCAAATCCACCCTCAGTGAAATTTAACTAGTAAATATTCTATACCTTAATATTTCTTTTTCATAATAGTTCCAAAATTTTTATTTCAATTCAATATGAGAGTATAAATCAATAAGTATGATACCAAATATAGTTAACCTCAAAATTAGTAAACTCATGCTTTTTATAGTCTCATTTTAAGGTTTTCACTCCAATTCTTAGATACTTAAAAATTATTTGATCCTAGACATTAAAGCCATATCACCACGGTTCATGTCATTAAAAACAGTCAAAATTTCATGTATAACTACACAATATTATAAATTTTGTATCCAAATTATAAAATACATGAAATTTTTTCACCCAACAAATAGAAAACATTTTAACTAATTGCAAAGAATTATATAACTTCTCTAATTGAATTTAAGTTATCTTAGATAGCATGTTTATTTCTTGTCAAAATAATATTATATAAATCAAATAATATGAATTATATATTATTCTTTTTTCAATAAAATGCAATCATGGAATAAGGACCATAAAATATGATTTTATGATAAAAACATATATACTCCTTCTTATTCGAAAATATTTATAAATTTACAATTTTTTATGCCTTGAAATAATTCTCAAGAATTTATCATTTTGATTTGATAACATGGTCAAACCAAAATATAATAAGGCTATAAAAGATTTATAATCAAGCTAGCTAGCAGGTGCTCCATAGCCATTTTATGCTCATGACCATTCAATGCTTATGATCAAGAAAATCCACATATAACATATCATAAAATCATGATTCATCAATTAAATAATTTAATTCAGAATTAAAAGATTAAAATGATAGTCAATAAAGAAAATAAAATTCATTAAGACTCAAAGTCTCTTATGAATTATTAATCATCAATTTTTTTAGTAGAATATAAAAACTAGAAAGATAATAACAAGAAAACTTATCTTGTATTTAGTATTTATTTCACCAAAAAATTATTTTGATAATTAAAGCTTTTCATGCTTGTTCCAAAAGTCGATTTTTCCAACTTTGCCAATTTCTTTTCTTTGTATCTTCCTCATGCAAAATATAAATATCATAATTACGTTTAAATTGTTAGAAAAAATAAATAAGAAAAGAGAAATTATAGAAAAAAACTTACTTTGAAGCTCGAAGAACATTTTCTTAAGAGCAATTATGCCTCTAAGATACTATAAAACCTCAAAACTCTTCAAATCAGAAGTAGTGAAATTAGTTTTACTAAAAGATTTATTTATAATGAATGATCAGACATAAATTTCTATTCAAATGGTTATGACTTTTTGTAGAATCGTGACCCTTATGAATAATAATCTATTTATATTCAAATAATTATTATCATTTGTCATATGATAATTATTTCTGTTCAAACATAATTATTTAAAATATGAATGAAATTAATACAAAAATTAATTTTGTTCATCAATAATTAAAATTTTTTATCTAATGTAAGATGCAACCTATTTTAAATTACCAATAGTATCCATGTGGTACGATATTAAAAACATGAGATGAAAATATATATATATATAAATATAAGTAAGATGATAATATTAAAGATGAAGTATGAGCTACCCTTCAAATCTTATGAGTAAATGGTGTTTTTATTCACTTCACATATAAATTACACACTAAAATCTAGCAATAATTCTTTCCAATTGTGAAAAATTGGCTTAAAAAAGTCATCTTCTACTAATCAAATGGAATCCAAGCCTTTTTCTCTTTTGATAATAAACTCTTTGCACATCTTTTAGTCATAACTATAACCTTGGTAAAGTTTCCAAATTATTAGACCTATTAAATCGGCCCATGAAATCCATAATAGAAAGACGGTACGAACTGTCACATGTTTCATATGTTACATTTGGTCAACTCATGTAACACTGAATTATGTTTGAGAGACTAGAAATAAAGGTGTAAAAAACAACAGGTAAAGGTTTTAAGGGAAATCTAATTTGGATTATTCTATTTTTACTTTATTTTCTTTTCTATTCATTGTCTTTATTTTCTAGTACATATTGATTTAAACATAGAAATGCATACTAAAATCTTAATTTCACGTCCCCTGACTTTTTTTTTCTTGACAGGTCAAATAGGTTCATTAACTTAACTTTAAGCAATTCTCATCATTAAACCTAAAAATATCTCAACACATATGATATAATTTTTGTACGTGTTAAAATAAATATGAGATGCCATAGTCCAAGGTATTTTTTTTTTCATTATAAACAAGTTTGTACATTTTTTTTGTCTCAAATGCATTTTTTATTTTATACTAATATTTTGATTTTAAATGTAGAAAAGATTAGAATGTACTTTAACCTTTAATTGTTTTTTCATCTTGTTAGCTAATTATGTATGTCATAATATTCGAGTCCGAAATTTGTCTATTAAACACAAAAATAATAGAATCATTATCAATATTTTTTATCAAAGTGTGATTGATCACTTAAATAAATCTATCATTTTTAAAATTATTCTAAACTTAAACTAAATGACTCTAAAAAAATAAGTTTTACTTTATATCAATAGAATTAGGTTCGAGAGTTTGTTACGTATAGAAAAAGTTTTAGCAACATCAGAATATCCAAAATTAGTACCAAATTAGTTTTACGTTATCTTATATAAACCTTAATTAAAATGGTCTTTATTGCTTATTTTTATTAATTTTGATATCTAAATATTAGAAAAAAGCTTTTAGGTTTTCACAAAAAAAAATTATCCTCACATCAAGAATATTTAAAATAAACTCATTGTTTACTTAAAAAAAGTTGCATCATTGGATTTATTAAATATTTTATGACAAAGAAATCAATTTATTTCTTTTTATTTATTTATAAATATTAATGACAAATAATGATACAAACATATTTTCAATTTCTTAATAATATATCTATACTTTTATAAAAATATATAAGTCAAATTTTATTTTCATCAATTAAATAAATCAATAAATAAAAAAATAAAACCTAAATAAATAATGAATAAATAAATAAATATAGAAATAAAAAGTAAAAAAATTAACAAAACAAAATAATTTCATAAAAGAATTATTATCACAAATATTATCCCAAACCATATTAGACAACAAATAAATATAACACTATAATAAATAAAAATAAAAGAAAATGTACCAACCAATGGTCTTAGACCAACCCGAAATAAGGCCTACTCCCAAAAAAATTTTTGCTCGATTCTATTTGTTTTAATTGTATGTGTATAACTCTTTTTTGTTTTTTTAATGTTGTAATTTTTCTTGATTGTTATTGGTTGCTTAATTGCTTATTATCTTGTTGAATTGTTAATTGTTCTTGTGATCTCTCTTTCAATTGCTAATTAATTTTATTTCTCCATTTACTTGAGACTTCTTCAAAACTCAAAACTTTATATTATATGATGATTCTTGACTGTGTAGTTTATCTTATCTGAGCTTGGAATTGAACTCTTTATGTATCGATTAAATTCATTATTAATTATGAAAATTTTAATGTCAACTGAATCTATCAAGATTTTATCAAAATCTCTTTTTCCTCTTATAAAAACTTAATTCTCAAGAATTATCAAAATCAAACTCAACTTTAATCGGTTTCATTATTTCTTTGTTTTACCATAAATTTTTATATTTTTTATCTCAAATATACCAAAACAGAAAAAATTTTAAAGACTTGTATATTTTTTATAATTTGTTTATTTATTCATTTAAATATTAAAAAATAAAAAATTTGTAAAAAAAAGAACTAAAAAATATAAAAATTTTATAAAAATTCTAAAAAGTTAAAAAAATAAATATTTTAATTAAATAAAATGTTAAATTTAAAAAATTCAAAAAATGATTTTTATTTAAAAATTAAAAAAATTGAAAAAATAAAATTTAATATTTTTATAAAATTAGAAAATTTTAAAAAAATTCAAAATATTGAAATTTTCTAGAAAATTTTTAAATTTCTAAATATCAAAAAAATTATAAACAGAAAACTTTCAGAAACAAAATTAAAAAATATTAAAATATTAAAAAGTTAATTTAATATTTTTAAAAATTAAAAATTTTTAAAAAATTTAAAATATTTTTATATTAAAAGAACTAAATTTTAAATTTCGTGTGTGTATAAAAATTATTTGTATAATTTAATAATTGTTTCATTGATCCAATGATTATATTAGTAAATTAATGTTACATCAACAATGTAAACGATTACATGATTAAGTTAATGACCATATCAATATTTTTAATAATAAAAATTAATAAAATTAATGATTGAATTAAAATTATTAAATCAAAATGATATGATAATTAAATTTATATGAATTTTAAAATAAAAATTAAATTTTAAATTTTGTAAAATATAAACACGAATGACATAATTTGACCTGTTTACCGTTCACATGTGTGCTAAAAAGTAAAAATCTTAAAAACTGTGCTAAAAAGTAAAATTCTTAAAAACTGACACCTGTCCTAGTTAGGAAAACGCGACTCGATCCTCCACTTTTACATTTCTCCCAAAACCTAAAAGCTCACTCGATTGGCAGAGCAAAGCGGAGTTATATCCCGTCCCTTCCATTTCACAGATCAGAAATCAATCCAATAAATTCTCTCTCAAAATGATTTCCTAACTTACCTTGATTTCAACACACCGAAAAAGCGCTCGTATAATTTGATTATTCAATTTTATTTTTAACGTTCTTTTAAAACCCTATCCTCTTTGCTTGTTTCTCTGTGAGAAGATGTCTTTTGATCTAATGTTGAAGCCGTAGTGTAGCGGCTGTGGATCGACCAATGATTTGTATGGAAGCAACTGTAAGCACATGACCCTCTGCGTCAATTGTGGCAAAACCATGGCCGAGAACCAAGGCAAATGCTTCGATTGTGGCGCCATTGTCACCCGCTTGATTCGAGTTCATTTTCCCTCTCTACATCTTATAATTATATTCATGTTTCACTAATAGTTTTACAATGCTTGGGTTAATTGTTGACATAATTTTTTGAATTTATGTTGGTGGAAATAGCGTGTGCTTGTATTAAATTTTCCCTTCTCAGCTGGACTTCAATGTAATTCCCGGGTTCTTTTTCTGAATTTAGGAATACAATGTTAGAGCAAGATCTAGCACCGAGAAGAACTACTTTATTGGTAGGTTTATGATTGGTTTGCCCAATTTTTCAAAGAAGAAAATGCTGAGAATAAATGGTCTCTGCAAAAAGAAGGACTACAAGGACGCCAACTTACTGATGCTTTGCGGGTATTAGATTTATCCTTTTCAGCTGTTGCTTGCATGTTCCTACCTTTCACTTTAAGACGAAATAGCTCAAATTATGTGGTGCCGCTAGTGCAAACTCCAAATTCCACAAAAGGTTGATGACATTGACAAGTATGTCTTTTATGGAATTCTTTCCCGATTTCAGAGCTAGACCCATATTTTTTCTGTGGGCATATCATGTGTTTTTTGCTTGCTGTAGAAGTACGAGTAAATAGTAGAACAAAAAATCATTTTGCTAAGCTACACAACCAAGGTTGATAGTTACATAAACATAATAAGTAAATTCCATATTCTAAGGAGGAAAATTTTCCTTGGACTGATATAATTATACTTGTATTTGCTTTGATGCCAACTGTCATTATTGTGGGCTCCTATCATATAGGAGAAATATAAGAACAAACCTTGGCTATTGGAGGATGAAACAGGGCAGGCTCAGTATCATGGCCATCTTGAAGGTTCACAGTCTGCAACTTATTACCTGCTTATGATGCAAGGAAAAGAATTTGTAGCTATTCCGGCTGGTTCTTGGTATGAATGACATATATGATTGTTTGTTTTGACTACTTAACGCTGTTCCTACCATTCATTGCTCTACTGTAATAGGTTATTTGTAGCGAAACATTGCTATATTTGAATCTTGTTAGACGGGTTTTCAGTGGTAGTACTCTTTGACAGGTACAACTTCAACAAGGTTGCACAATACAAACAACTTACATTGGAAGAAGCGGAAGAAAAAATGAGGAACCGGAGGAAGACTGCAGATGGATATGAGAGATGGATGATGAAAGCTGCAAATAATGGAGCTGCAGCATTTGGCGAAGTGGAGGAGATTGATGACAAGGAAAGTGGTGTTGCTGGTGGGAGGGGGCGTAAAAAATCAACTGGTGATGATGACAAAGGTCATGTATCAGATAGAGGAGAGGAAGATGAAGAAGAGGAAGCAGCCAGAAAGAATAGGCTTGGACTCAACAAAAAAAATGGTGATGATGATGAAGAAGGTCCAAAGGGAGGAGATCTTGATATGGATGATGATGATATTGAGAAAGGTGAGCTTTGCTCATGTTTTTGTCTTAGTTGGTGTCTATTTTCTTGTTTGTTATTGTTTTGATTTATAGACTATTTTGTTTCATCGCCAGAATTTCAATGAAATTAGCATTAGAAATAGTATATAAATTAACTATTGGAGAGATGATGTGACACCTAATTATCTCTTCTGAAGACAGCTTTCCAATGAATTGGACCTTGACTATCCAAAATTTTGAATAAATGGTTAAAATGCGTAAATGTACTTTGCTGAATCTACTTTATGGAAAGTATTCATCTAAATTTTTTTTTCTTTCCAAAATATATTGAACTGAATAACAGAACGACCTTAAATGCTAACTCTGTTCTTAATGTTGTGCACATGAATGCACATGTACACACATCTAACACTGAAGGTCCTTAGCTTTTCTCTTTTCTTAGCAGAATTTTTGTTTTTGCCCCTAGTTTATTTCTGTACATTTTTGTTTAGGTGATGATTGGGAGCATGAGGAAATATTCACTGATGATGATGAAGCTGTTGGTAATGATCCTGAGGAAAGGGATTTGGCCCCTGAAGTTCCTGCTCCTCCGGAAATCAAGGAGGTATATTTTATGTGTTTTATCAAACTTGCAAGTTAAGGATGGCATTGCCTTGTTAGCGTATTGTTTGTCTCGTAAGAATCAGTTTCAAGCTTCATGAATACACCAAGATAATAGGTTGATTTTAGAGCTTTAGCTACTTTGTACCGGATGAGACATCTTTCCATCTTTATTTCTTTTAAATTTCTCTATTCAAAGGCTGCCGCATAGATCTTGTTTCATCACAGTGGGTAAAGAGGAAAGTGAGATTTTCAGAAATAAAATCTAGTAATTAACAGTAGTAAAGTTAATGTATTGAGGTTCTCTCATTATGTACGAAGAGAATCTGCTGAGAAGAATGTCAATAAATGTAAATTTGCAGTTTCAAGAAATAATATGATATACAATTTTCTAGGCTTGAGAGTTATTAGTCTTTGGTGATAGACTGCTTTTACTTCCATGGGTTTGCTGCAAATATGCATCATTTTAATTGTCACTGATACCTGATTCAGAGTAAAGTTAATGTATTTTCTACTTGCATTTTGCGTTTTTTCACCAAAATAATTTTTTTGCTTCTGTTTCTAGGGGTGATATTTCTTTTATTATTTTTTAAGTCACCATCATGACTGGAATTTGACTCCTTTTTAGCAATAGCAGATAAAATTTCTGTTTTGTTTCAGGATGAAGACGAGGAGGATGAAGAGCAGGAAGGAGGACTGAGTAAGTCTGGAAAAGAGTTGAAGAAGCTATTAGGGAAAGCTGGTGGGCTTAATGATTCAGATACAGATGAGGATGAGGTTGAGGATGAGGATGTAAGTTTTTAAGATTCCTAATGGCTGATTGTAATATTTTGTTGGCTAACAAAAAGCTAACAAGGTTAATATGGCCTTCTTTTATTTTATCATTCTGGTTTATCATTTTCTGTATGGTTATGGTGCGTGTGTCATCTCTTCTTTAGTAAGAGAGACCTAACTGATCTGATGCCTGATTTTACTTGAATTTTTTGTGGTGTCTATTCTAATTATGCTTATGCCAAGAGGGTTTTTTGTTTTTTTTGTTTTTTTTGCTACTTCAGGTGGATGATGATATGAGCTTTAATCCTGTACTAGCTCCTAAGCAGAAGGATGCACCTAAAGAAGAACCTGCTGACAATAGTCCAATGAAACCAGCACCTTCAGCTCGGGGAACCCCAACTACATCTAAGTCTGCAAAGGCAAAGAGAAAAGTAAATGGTGATGATACAAAGGGATCTAATGGTGCCCCTCTGAAGAAGGTTAAATCAGAATCTGTATGTTACCAAATCTCAAAAACTTGCCTTTTTGCACCTGTAGATATTTTTAAGAAGAAATTTGTTTTAAATGTTAACTTAATTTTTCTTTTTGAGGGGTAGGAGTCAAAATCGTCTGTGAAAGAGGAAAGTGCACTTGCTTCCAAAGGCAGTGTGCATTCCAAAGGCACAGCATCATCTGCAAAAGCTGGATCATCATCAGCTGCTGGTGGATCATCATCTTCAAAAGCAGGATCAGCATCAGCATCAACTGCTGGACCTGTAACAGAAGAAGAAATTAGAGCGGTTTTACTACAAAAGGCACCTGTAACGACATCAGATCTTGTTGCTAAATTTAAAGCTAGGCTAAAATCTCCAGAGGTATAACATCTTGCATAATCCATTTTTAGCCTCTTTTGTTGGTTTAATATTTATTGCTGTGTTTTCAGAAATCTATGCTCACTCGATCCTTTAGGTCTATATGTTCAGCATTGATAGGTATCTGAAATGTTCATATAGTTTTTATTGTTATTAGATTAGATTCTTTTCTGTCTCATGTTTGTGGGCCCTCATCCTTTCTTGAGATAGAAAATCTGCTTTTAAACTCAGAAGAATAAACAGTTTAGTATCATAAATAAGGTGCCTGCATGTTAGAAACTGCACTAGTTTGTTGTGGACCAAGAAGGCAAGATAGGTCCATTAAGATAAAGAGATTAATCTAAAAATGAAAAATTTTCCTCAGTATATATTCAGGTTAGTTTTTCGCATTTGTTTTTCCGTCTCTCTTGTGTTTTCTTTTTGAAGTATTACTCTCACTCTAAGTAGATAATTCTCTTTGGTGCAGGACAAGAAGGCTTTTGCAGATATTCTAAGGCGAATTTCTAAGATACAAAAGACAAATGGACCTAATAACTACGTTGTCTTGAGAGAAACGTAATGGTTAGATCTCCATGTTTTAACGTTTGTCCTAATCAATTTTCTTATGCTTTGTTCTCAAATGGTGGGGCTGAATAATCATCTTGCATTTTTTGGAAATTGGTATGGCAAGAGGCAATAAGGCCAGAAATCAAAGGTGGTAAGAGGATATGTAGTCTATTCTTGTAAGCAGGCTCTCTGTTGTATTGTGGACATTGTATACCAAAATCTATTTTCTAGAATTTACAGTTTCACATTTTTGTTATCGGGTCTTACCATAGAAAGTCAATAGAGGAGTGGCTAATGAATCGCTCTAAGTTCTAAATTTCGGGTTTAGGTGCCACCATTTCTACGTTGCCTTATCATTCCGTTGAAAATGCTCTCCATTTTTTTTTTTAAAAAACCTACTTATTATCCTGTTGTTTTATCAGTGGCTAAATGTTCAATTTAAAATTAAATATTTGAGTGATTGTTAAATTCATGATTAAATGTAGTATTTTATATGAATAAAGATTAAATATTATCGATTTTGTAATAATTTAAGATCCTTTTAAATGAAAATTAGGTTATGAAAGACATGCACTCTTAAATTGCAGAGTCGAAAAATAATCAAATTTGTTGTTGACTTGGAAAAAAAAAAAAGGTCAAATTTGAGTGCTGAACTAGCTAAAAAATTAAAAATAAAACTATGAAAAATTTTAACTTTTAACTTTTATTTTCTTTTCCTATCTCATTATCGGTTCCTTATCTTATCAATTCTTTCTCGCATCCTTTTCCTAATTTTTTAATTTCTCCATAGTTGTAACTTTGAACAAATCAAAGTAAAAAAAATAATTTCCTTAAATCCAAACATATCTTCAAAGATTAATACTCCTTTCATCTAATGAAACTATTTTCCTCTCTAAATCTCAACCAATCCGCAAGAACGTTACTATCTAAGCCAAACCTCATGCGCGTCATTATCGAATCGAAACAGAAACCTTATGGAAAAGAACTTCTAGCAGCCCTGAAAAAGAAGATTCCAACACTAAAATTAAGATGGAGTTGTTATGCAATGTGGAGGCAGTTTTAAAAAAAGACAAAGATGAAGGCCCTGATAAGGGACGAAGTGGTGATGAGTCTCATTGATTGGGTGAAACGAAATGGCATGATCAGGAATTTCTTTCTGTGGATCTCCATGCTTAATGGTTGATTTTCTAGGTTTTGGATTTTTTGCTGGATCTTTTTTTTTTTTTTGAGTTTTGGTTGGTTTTCATGAATTAATATTTTCAAAGATTTAATTTCATTTCAATGATCCAACAACAAAGAATGAAATAAAAAATAAAAACGTCTGGGGTTTAAACATGCTATGACCAAAACCACTAAAAAGGCTTTTAAGATGCTAACTTGAGCCATTAATGAACGAGAGAATGTGAGAATTTTTATTTTTTTTTTAAATTGTGAAAGAATTTTGGTGCCTTTGGTTGTTTTTGGTTTACGATCATAAGATTTTCAATTACTCGTTATTATTCCAAGGCAAAAAATTCATAAATCCAGACTATAAAACAGACAATATAAAAAGCACAATTAAAATACACAAATTTTTGTATTGTGAATAAAGCTCTTTAAACGAAAAGAAAAATTATTAGACAAGGAAAGTAGATACTAAGAGAGGAATTTTTTTGTTCAGAGGGACACTTGCAAAGGGAGAAAGGGGAGGAAATCATTGCTTGAAACTAGGACCTTTATGTTCTCATAAAATTTCTTTTGCCATTAGATCAAGAAACGAAAGGCAAAAGAGAGGAGTTGAATGTAGAAAAGAAGAAAAAAATTGAAAGATAAAGGAAGTGGAGAGCTCCGTTGCAGGGATGCTGTGGTCAGGGAAGAAAAATCTGAAGTTAAAAAAAAAAAAAAAAAAAAACTTAAACAAGAGGAAAAAAAATTTGAGAGTTTGTATTTTTATGAAACTAACTTTTTTAATTATTATTTTGACATTTTTCTTCGGTTTTGGATAACATGTCAACATAAAAATGTTAGGTCGTTTGAATTTACCTTTTTTACACGTTATCACGGTGCAAATCTTTCACAATCACGTTTTTATTAATAAAAATTTTATATTATTATAAATCGATAATATTTAATTTTTATTCTTGTAACATAATTTTAAATTAAGCATTTAACCTCTATCATTTCGTCCGAAAATTTGAGGTTCTGCCATTGCAGCTTTAGCTGCGCATTGCCAATAATTTACCGTGCCTTGGCCATTTTGCAAATTATCAGTGAGACAAATTGTTTGAAAATTAAATTACATTATGCGTCTATAGCAAAAGGTGAACATAGCTCAAACGTTAAAAAGTGAAGGGGGGCACAGCCATAACTAAACAGCCATATAGTAAAAGCAAAGCCATAGCCCAACCAAAAACAACACGGAGTTTCCGTAAAGCTGGACTGATCCAGAAGGGGTCGTGGGCGCCGCAGCCAGGGTCGAAACAGAGTCTTCTGACACTACGACTTTAGGCTTTTGGGTCTCGGGGCTCCTTAAAGGCATCACCTCCATGTGTAGCTTTAGTCCGTTCTTGCAGTTCTCAGGCTTGCCGCTCACGAAGTATCGCATCCCTTCCACATCCAATGGGATACCATCTAAACCGTCCGTATACATCCTTATGGGGTTGCTCACATCGCACGACTCATATTCATCCCGGCTCTTGAGCTCAACAATGCTTTCCTGTGCTGCAGAGTAGGCGAACCCTGTCGAACAGTTTAATAACACCTAGTGAATTTATTCTAGTATAAACCGAGGGATATTTTCTTCAAATTAACCGTAAACTGTAAAGCATAAACAAACGTCTAAAAAGAAGCGAATATGTTAAAAAAAGAAAAAGAAAAAGCTGAAAAAGTGTAAACAATAAACCCCAAGACCTTTTGGTTTTCAAAGCTACCTGCTTTTCTCAACAAACAAAGAATAGTATCGAATCCTACTAAAAAAGAAGAGAGAATAGTACTGAATATATTTGCTACTAGTATTAAGCTCTTGGCCAGAAGGAATGTTGCTATTCTGCTAAACTGCTAACTTTAGACCATGTTGCAGGTAATTAACTTCTCTGCACTAAAAATCTCATGGTTTTTCTAGTTTTCTTGGATAGCAAAAGCTGTGTTTCTTTCTCCGGTTTTTCATCCATGGGTCAGAACAGCTTGACAGCTTGATCCATTCATATTTTCTTCACGACAGCAAACATGCAAAGTAAGAAACACGGTTGGGTTCTAGGTTGGTTTTTGTTCCTTTTGATCGATAACAAATGGTGAAGATGGAGAACATATAATTATTTCTAGTTTGTTTTGTTCTATATTTTACTAACCTACAGTCTTTATATATGGAGGGAGTAGCAAACAGACTTCCTCGGCCCTCACCTTTGATACGAAACCATTAATGCTAGAGCTATGATGTTTTAATTTTCTTACACACCAGAAGCCAACAAAATGAAACATTGAACTGAATTTTACAAATACTAATTACTGTATTTTGTTTTCCATTAACAAAACAAACAAAGTTGAACGGAGCTGGAATTAATGTTTTCTAAGCTATAACTAGAGAGAGCGAAGTAGAAGCCTACAGATTTTGTCTCCAACCCTGAAGCTCCTATCGGACGACCAAGATGCCACGCCAGATGAAGGGTCCCACCCACGGTCTCCTCCGACCACATGATGCACTTGTGCTTCAGTCCTTTTCACTCCAAGACTCGCTGCCATGACAATCAGAGCCACGGTCACCATCTGCACAATAGCCATTGTCACTGAACAGGAAACTGGGAAAGCAAAAACAAGAAACAGTGCTCCCTAAAAGGATACTTCTTTAAAGAGAAAAAAAATGGAAAGAAAGAGCGAGGGAAAGGTGAGGTGAAGTGAAGTGTATGTTAAGCAAGGAGGCGCTCTTTTAGCACAGTAGGGCAAAAAGGGTTCCGGGATGCTTCCTCCAAAAAAGGACAGAGGGAATTGGTGTATTAAATTTGGAGCTCCCCTTGCGCGGCCACACACTTTCCTCCTTCATCCCTAATGACTAAAATACCCTGTGGTTCATTGAAATTTGCACACCATGATTCATTGGCTAACAAGTAACAACCATCAACTGCCACTCCTGAAATTTCCTTTCTTTCATGTTTTCAAGCGCGGTTAGGGTAAAGGAGGAAGGGAATATGCTCGATTAGGTATATTTTTATTATATATATTCTCAATGGATAACAATTCAAATCTATGATCAATATTTTATAGGACAAATTACTTCCACGTTTTGGTCCTAAATTTTAAAATATAATAAATTGGTTCATATATTTTAATGGTCATAACAAAGTGATCTTTTCACCATTTGATCGCTCAAAAAGATAACAAAAAATTATAAAATAAGATAATAGATTGATAATATTATAAATTTAAGATTAAGATATAAAATTATAAAGAAAATAAACATTTGACAAAATTTATTATTTTAGATATTAATTCTTATGTATACTTATTGTCATTTTTGTGATGCTAATTTTTTAAATTAATTAATATTTTTTATTTTTTAAAAATAAATTTATTAAATTACAATTAAATTTATTCATAAATTGAGCTGTTAATAAGATTTACAAATTAAGTTTTACTCAAATTGAATTTTGAATTAAATTTTTAAATTTTAGCTTGACCTGATCAAATTATTATTTTATTAATAAAATGTTTTTATTTAATTTGTATTTTAGAATATATTTAAAAATATTAAAATATTACTATAAAACCTTTTAGCATTTTTAACTTTTAATAATAAAATGGATCTATTCGGGTTTTTAATGGATGAGTTAAATTGGGCCTTGAACGAAACTTTAAGTGTCATCCTGATTTGGTTTAATTCATAAAATTTTTTAGTTGCAATCCAAATAATTAAATTTGTCATTTTTATTAAAAAGTGATAGTGTAAAATTTATAATATTTTATTACAAATTGTATACTAATATTTTATAATTAAAAAAAATTTATTTTTGAATAAATATTTTATGATGATGAAATATTATAAAATAAATAACAAATACATGATAAAATATTTTATGATGATTTATAGTTTAATTGTATGTTTGAAACAAAAAATAAATAAATTTGAAGAAAAATAGGTAATTTTCATTTTCAAGATACAAATTTCTTTTTATCTATCCTAAAAATGAAACTAAAAAATATTTACTAAAAAATTAGGCATAAAAAGGTAATTTTATTTTTTTAATAATTATCAAAATTACTGGTATTAAATAAAAAAGTTTTATCATCGTCATTGTTTTTATTTTAACATTTAACAGTTCAACTAACAGTTTTATTAACAAAAACATCGTTTTATTACTATTATCAAAATATATGGATCAGTATATTATTTTTTAAAATTTAAAAATCAAAATAATACCAATATCAAATTTTAAGGATTGTAAAAGTAATATATCTTATTTTACAAAATGAGATTTGATTTTGAAAATAATGAATCATATATATCATATAAAATGAAATTCATAAGCAGCATGCATTTATCACATATGGTGTGCAAGAAATTCACAAAAAATTGACAGTTTTTCTCAATCGGTCATAGAACATTGTAAGATATAAGTCTTTATTAAAATTTTGTTTACCTAAATTTGTAATACAGCAAACTCTTCTATTAGATCTTTATATAAAAATTAAAAAATTATATAAAAATTTATCTTCAATTTCTTAATCTAATGATAAAAAAAATCTTATAAAAGACATCAAAATTAAGATTTGATCCCAACCTTCTCTCTTTTGACGTAGGGCTCTGCCCCGATTGAAAAAAAAAAAAAAAAACTCTATAAAAATTCTTTGTGATAGATTTTGCATTGCTCTTTGTATTGAATAATAAAATATATAACAATTATCGAAAAGAAAATCATGAATACATGGTTGATATTTAAAGTGCAATATAAAAATATTAGCACTTTATGTATTAACAGCTTTACATCTGGACGTGTGAGCCAATTAATTTCGGCCAGTTTACTTGCCAGCCGTTTGCCATACACCACAGGATATGGCTATGGATGCATTAATAAATTAATAATATAAAATTTCTCAAATATTTAACTTGTCAGAGAGACTGTTGTTTTCTGGGTTTCTGATTGAAAATCACGTGATGCATTCCAACGCTGGTGTTTTTAATCTTGACAAAAGCATGTGGCGGGTTCGGCTTTCCAAGAAAGCATCATCAGAATGCAGAAGATAGAAAAAGAATCATAGTTAAACAATTTCCCAACCAAATTATTCCAGTTGTCATTATGTCAGTATATGTACGTACATATGGCCAAGAATGATCCACCCACGTAAACTTCTTCGGAGCCACCCACATAAAATTCATGGTTTTGTGCCCAAATTGATTTGCCATTTGTAACATTTTGAACCGTGTAACTTCCTTTGTCATTCCTGCTCTTTGGCCCCTTCTATGGTTTTCATAAAGCAAATAATATTTTCCCTTGGAATTTACGAAGGGACAAGATTATCTGTTCTACTAAGCCACTGGTCCGCATTTTCCTTGTTTAGATATCGATTTTCCGCACCTTCCAGGCGCTAGTGCAGCCCCACCTTTTTAACTCTAGCAACGGACAGCCGTCCTCTACAGTACTCATTACACCCTACCCACACCATCTTTCTCTTTTTCATCGTCTCTTCCCCTTCCCTTAGATGATGGAAGGATACCCATGTACTCTCGCCTGATTTCAAGCTACAAACCAAGATTAATATCAACCAAAAGAGATTCGATTTATATATGAAAAACTTGTTATAGAGAATCAAGATAATGAAATATTTTCCCAATTGCAGAATTTTTTATAAGTAATACTCAAACACGAACAGAGTGTTTATGTACGCCTTCAAAAGTAAAAATAAGAGATTTTGAAAAAAAAAATTATCTTGGACACTAAATTTTTTTTTTTTGAAATATTTTTTTGGTTGATAAATTAATAAATTCATGATAATTTTTAAATAGATAAATTCGAAATATCTCTAAAAAATTTTGATTCCATCACTAGTAATACTAGTATGGATTAGGAGTATAAATAAACAAAATTTTTAATAAATTATTCACGAATATATTTAATTTTTATTTGTTTATATTTATTTATTAAAATTTAACAAATAATTTTAAATAATATTTTTATATTTATTTATTAAATGAATTAAATACGAATAAAAATCTGTTTAATTCATTTATATTTATAAATAAATTCATTTAAAACTTGTTTATTTATTGTTTATTTATAATAATACTAATAAAATTATATTTTTATCATTTATCTTAATTCTATTTTAAGATTTGTTCTATTCATTCAGAGTTTTTTTATTTAAATTTATTTGGTTAAAGTTATTTTATTGTTCATAAAAATGTTCATTTATATATATTTGTGAACATATTTATTTAATATTTATGAATGTGTTCGTTTAATTTAATTGAACCAAGTGCGAGCATCCTATTACTAAAATAAACCGAATTTGAATGAACATACCAATTTTCTTACCTAACACGAACCAAATCCAAACACTTTTAAAAATAAATGAGTAAATCACAGATATACATTTATTTATTCATCCATCATCGATTTGATTATAGTCCTAATATCAATTGAGACCTTTTTGTCAAAGGATGGGATGTTGTTGATTTTTTGCATATCTTTTTATATAAAACTGTAAGCATGTAGGATTATAGGCACAGGACTTTCCAAATTTCAAAATCTTACTATTATTATTATTCAAATGTATGGTAAGTCATTTTTATAGAACTCTAGAATCCTTTTCTGAGAGACTCAAGGAATTAGAACTTTGACAAAGAAAATGAAGGCTGGCAGCAAGTGTCCTTTCAATTTTTATCTAATGGCAATTGTCGCTGGCTTGGGTGTCAATTGCAATGGTTTTAACTTTTAACTTTAAAAAGAAACCTGACCAGACAAGACTCTTTTATATGTAATTTTGCAACTCACAAAATTGCCAAAAGAAAAAGTGCTTATGGGAAAGATTTGACCATTCACATCAACTAAGAAACACCACGAACGACAATTAGAAAAAATAAATAAAAGAATAGAAATAATAAAAAAAATTTTGATTTTGAGACGTGAAAAATACTTTTTAAAGGTAATTATATCTTTAAGATACAATAAAATTTTAAACTTTTTAATCAGAAGTAGTGAAAATAATTATACTAAAAAATCTATTTATAATAAATAAACAAACATAAACTTTTACTTAAATGGTTATGACTTTTTGTATGATCATGATATTTATGAATAATAATCTATTTATATTCAAATTGTTATGATAATTTATCATATAATAATTGTTTCTATTTAAACATAATTATTTAAAATATAAATAAAATTAATACAAAAATTAATTTTATTCATCAATAATTAAACTTTTTATCTAATATAGAATGTACCATATTTTAAATTACCAATAATCTCCCACTAATTTGAAATTTTAGTGCTTAATCTTTAACCTTTCACACAAATAAATATTATGAATATAAAAAGGTATCACTCAATTTAAACATTCAATTAGCGTATATACCTTAGAATTTTAACAAAATTGATGGTGTCCACAGATTAAACCATAATTTTTAGTGTTTAAATTGAAGATATAATACACATAATACTTATTTATTCTTCTATCAGAGGTTTATAACTCTTTTAGCACTATTATGACCATGTACTTATCTTATTAATAAACATTTATAAGAGAGATCCCAATTCTTAACATTGAAGCGGCACCACTTATATGCTTATATAGATAGAATTTTCGTTATGTCTTCATTGCTTTAGACATTCAAATAATAAACTCTATTAAGAGAATAAAAAATTCACCCCCCCATGTAATGGATCACACTAGTTTCTAAAATTTAAATGAATTTTACTAGTACTTTAACAAACACATAACAATAACTTATTTTTACCTATTAAACTTTGTAATTAGAGGTTACTAATTCAAAGTTGGGTTTCCATTATTGGCATCTAATAGTAAAGGTTTAAATCTATTCCACTTGTAA